CTGCCTCTGTGTCTTCTTAATGAGGGAGGAAAACCTTTCCCAGAAGCCCCAAGGAGCCTCCCTCTTCCATCACACTGACCAAGCCTGGGTCCCATGACCACCCCTAGCCAGCCCCTGGCAGAGGGCATAGGACTGCTTAGATGGGTCTCAGCTCATCCGCCTGTGTGGGGCACACAGCACTTCATCCCACTTCTTTCCAAAGCTGCCTGCTCAGTTTTGATTGTCACTTGTTCCTTCATCATGCTGTCACCATCTCCATTTCTTTCTTTAAACTATTAAGCATACTTATTTTTCACTGTGTGTCTGATAATTTCAATACATGCTGAAGCCCTGCTCCCTCCTCCAGCCTGCTGCCTCCCTCTGGCTTCCACTCTGCAGAGCCTGCCAGGAAAGGGGTTTGTAAGTCAGCCCTCATCGCTGAGCGGGTGCAGGAGGGCGGGCTTGGGGTGGAGAGACACGTCTTAATAATGGCGCAGCTCCCCTCCCTCTCTGCATTCTGCCTTCTCATTGCTGGCTCCTTGGGTTCTTGCCACTCAGCCATGCATTTCCAGAAGGTGTTTGAAGATTGTGCTAATCAGTGTAGACACCCTCAGCTGGGCAGTCCTTAGGACATGTAGCCTGCCATATTGCCAGAAGTGAGGACTCCATGGAAAGGTGGACAGAAAGGACCTGGAGGTTAGAACAATCCCTCCGGGCCTGTGTCAGGAAAGGACTAGCAGCCGGGAAACCAGACAGGAGACAGGCTCAACAACCTGAGGGAGTCCCTGTCGGCTGGGGACAACTCAGGCCCCCCCCCCCCCCCCCCCCCCCCCCCCACTGGGTCTTGGTTAAACCAGGCCTGGTTCTCATCCGTTGCCCTTGTCTTTCCTCATCAGGTCCTTCTGGTCACCTCGTCTTTCATGTCCCCTTCTGAGAGCCGCAATGGCTCAAACCCCAGCCGCGTTCGCATGTTTGGGCCTGACAAGTTGGTGCGGACAGCAGCCGAGAAACGCTGGGACCGCATCAAAATTGTCTGCAGCCAGCCCTACAGCAAGGTGCCTGGGCCTGGGCCTGGGGGTGCAGATTCCTTGGTTCTAGGAGAGGAGGGGGCCAAGGAACTCATGTC